ATGTGTTTAAGGAAAAATGAAAACATTGGAAAACTTTTCAAGTACCTAATTAAACATTAACAACTGATTAAACATTGTTTCCTAATGTTTATAGATAAGAAAGTCAAAATATATATATCTAATTAGCTATACTCATTACCTGGTTGAATTTTAGTTTCGCTCTAAGTAGGTAGCTTTCTATGATCAGACGTCAGTATTGATTAATAATAAATATTAATTAAAACTGAGCTATATATTTTTAAATATTTACATGACAATTATGATAATTCTGAAAACGGAAAAATTATAGCCGTTCTGTTAGCGAAGACCACCAGTTGCACAGCGGTATGTCTGCGGACTTACAACACTGAAATCTGGGTTTCGATACCCATGGTGGGCAGAGCACAGAAAGCCCATTGTGTAGCTTTGTGCTAAACCTCAAACAAACAAACTGTTAGCGAAATGTTATAGTATTATTTTATTTGCACATCAGTTTTGATGCATTATTTTAGCGGTTTCTAGTCACTGACATGAAATATTTGAACTTGTTTTGGTATATTTTATTTCCATCTTATATAACAATAAAGCTATTTAAAATGTTTTAATAATTACATATATACATGTGTATTGAGGGAGTACGTTTGTTGTTAAGCACAAAGTTACACAAGGGGATATCTGTGCTTTGCCCACCACAGGTATTGAAACCTGGAATTTAGTGTTATAAGCCATTAAACGTACCATTGAGCTTTATATAGAGAGAGAGTATTTGGAAATAATTAGGGAAACGGTGAAGAAAATGATATGAAAGGCAAGTGCTACGAGAATGACGTCCCTTTCTCGTGTGAAAATTAATTGCCCAATCACATGTACAGTCATTTGCTAATAGTTTACAATGCGATTGATTGTCATTCAACCAACCAAAAAGTGTCATACCAGTATAAAGTTTAAACAACTACAGGCAGTCATACAATGCTCAGTTATGGCCCCCACGAATGAAATACCACATGACAAGCATATCGAAATCCAAATGGCTGATCAAGGATTCTACGTGCATGAAATTGCGAAAAGACACCGTTTTCCAGTTGAAGCTATATTCAAAACTCTTAACAGGGTACGTGAAACTAGCATTTATAAAAATTCTCGAGGTAGAAAACCTAATACTCCAAAAGTTATATTAATTCTTCTTAAGTATCTTAGGGTATGTTCTTTATAAAACAAGCGACGGCTGAGAACAAATTTTGCCAACGACCTTGCTTTAAATACAAGTATTAAAAAAAAGAGTAAGATACACATTACAAGAAGTGGTCTCAATGGATGTGTAGCTACCTGAAAACTGATGCTGAGAGGAAATAACCAAATCAAAAGACATCAGACCACAAACAATCGAATGAGCAAAGCTGGAGATGCGTGCTTTTTACAGATAGATCAAAGATGTAGCTGTTTGGCACAATCAAAGACAGGTTGTTCAAAAGAGAAAGGAAGACGCCATTGTGGTCATTTTACACCATCTACAGTGAAGTGTGGTGGGAGATCAGTGTAATTTAGGGCTGAATCTCAGCCAACAGTGTCTACGTAAAATTGGTGGTCTCCTGATTGCTGATAAGTATATGCTCTGTTAATTCTGATATATCTTGACATTCCCTCAATTATATGTCTCATTTGGCGGAGGTTCGTCTTCCAACAAGACAATGATTCCAAGCTTACAGCAAATGTGTTGAAACGATATCTTAACCTTTTTTTCTGATAATGTTTTGTCACTGTTAATGAATTCTAACATCTATTCGCTACTACTGAGAAAGGAGCGTAAGATAACACTATCTATATATATATATATATATATTTAAAAGATACCACAATAGTTATGTTGATTTTACGTCTACTGAAAAGGGAGTGTAAGATAACACCATCTCTTTACAGTAGATGAGTTTTTAATTCCACATAAGTAAGAGTAAAACAAAAAAATCGCCGCACATGAAAGAAAGACAACTAAAACTAGTATACAAAGTAAAATATGGGAATGGTGAAATGTAACCTTGTAAGAGAGCCATCTGCAAAAGTAGAAACCACACATTAATGGGCTTTGTAACCCATGTCTGTCACTAATGTTTTGATTATTACTTTTGTTACGTATTACAATTTCAAACAGCCTAAAACCGAGTTAAATTGTACTTTGGATTTAGTAGTTAAATAAATACCGATGTGTGTCCAATTTATGATATTTGCCAACAAGATTGATACACACAGTTTTCTTTTTTAATACAAATATCTTTTGATATACAACAATTAATACAATTTACAATACCAGTTATTACAAATAGTTATTACGAACAATGATTTATATGCGAAAGTTTTACAAACTTACAAACAATATCGAGTCTTCGTTCGGTCTGGAACTTTCTCGATATCTTATCGAGGGTTTACGATGAGCAAGTTAATCTCGAATTGACATAAATACAATTCACTTAATAGGGGGCTAGCTAGCTCTGTGGTTTTCACTGATCACATGTCGATTTTTACACCGATGAAGTTCGGTAATGTTTTCGTAAAAGTACTAATGTCCGATGTGAATCCACAGAGGTAAAATGTTTTGTAATGTTCAAAATTTATAAATGTTCCTGGTCAAATATCTGAAGTGTCCCGATTAATAAGCGTTATAACCATCATAGTTATAGCTTCCGAAGTTTATACCACACCAACTACACCAAACCAATATTATATATTGTTTTTTGGCGCGCCGCGTTGGTTATATGTATATGTGTGGAGAGTTTCTCGAAATTTCAGCTTACGCAACGATACTGACGCTACACTAGCGTTTACGTACACATACATTGTTGATTCTTACACTCGAGGATCTTCTACAACTTTAGAGAATAGGCGGGAATTTCACAGTACAGATGTAACAGTATAAGTTATGTACATTTCTAAATATAAATTTAATTTAAACAAATATTGATATTAGAATAAATATATAATAGTAAATCCGTCACACTTTACACGTGGGGCTTACGAATAGAAGGTGCACTCCTCATTGATTAAACTATTTTATTATTGTAGTTTGTACTAAAGTTCTGTCTATGTTGTGTGTGTGTGTGTCTGACGCTCTTATTTTTTGACCTAGCAGTGCGAAATGCATTATAAACTGAATCATATATAATTTGTGTTTATTTTTAAGTAATTTATATAAGATTGTTCAACCTACTTAGAATGCAATATGTGCCCTGCGCATATATGCACCTAACCTAATGCACTGAAACTTTTACTTAAAAATGTGCTTTTACATACATTAGTCATCGTAATATCTTATAGTCTTGCATACTTTGAATAATGTTCTTTAGAATTGTATCTTTAATGTTAAAAAATACTATGAGACTAACATAGTAGCAAACAAATAAAAATGGAAATAGTTTTATGTTATGTTATAACATGGCGACATGGCATTTATGATTGAATCGTTTCATTGGATTTACTGTGTAAACGTAATTTATGGTTCTACGTTAATGTACGATTCACAAATTTCTTTATGGAGCGTACTGGTACATGTTTAGAAAGTGCATGTAACGCACAATATAAAAGTTTATTCTATTTCCTGGTTTCCTGGTTTGGGGATCTATTATTCCATAAAAGTAGTTTGACGCGAGATGCTATGGATAAACTAAACATTATTTGTTATTTCATACTATATATTGGTAAGGTGGGGCTTCCATTTATGAAATTAAAAAATCGTCATTACATGAACTGTTATTTGCAAATGAAACGAACTAAACAGATATCAAACAAAAAGTTATCTATATGAACTAAACACGCATCAAAATAATTTGTTGCGTCAGAATAAACGTTTCCTAAACAAAGACTGTCCTTGCTAAACTAATTAAACCCGATTTCAAAATGACAAAATGAGCACTCACTCGAAAAAAACGTCGTGTTTAAGTGAACTAAACACTTATCAAACATGATTTTACAAAAAATAAATAAACACTCACTAGACGAAGTTGTGTCTATGGGAACTAAAAATATACAAAACACGATTCAATGAAGATTGTATATACATTTACAAGCATAAATTATCGAATCTAAATGTACTAAACACCTACAAAACACAGTTTTATGATGCTTAGCTAATTATTCACTAATAATTACCAAAATAAATAGATAGAAAACTTTTAAAGTACGTTAGACCACATAACTTTCAAGATATCAGTAATTATCGTACATACACATATTTTGTCTTACGTGTGCTCTAGCAATGAAAAATCTGCGCATTATCTATAGTTTTCTTATATATTGATCTATAAACTTAGGTATTTCTGGACAGTTTGTTTCACATGACAGTCTTCACTACTTCATTAATTACTTTGTAAATGATTTCAGTTCGGATCTATAGGGTTAGCTTACTTTGGTCAGAATTCTTAATAAAGAATAGTAAAAAAATATATATAAATATATAATCATAGATTACGTATGTTACAAGCACTGTAATTTTTAATTCGATTAATTTTTTATTACTTTCTACTCTGAAGAAAAAATGTTAAGCGCACGCAATCTTTTTTATTATAATCTGTCTACCTAAATTCGGAAAGAAGTAAGGGATCTTGAACACTGTATTAGTTTTGGACTAACTTATTATATGACAATGTAGTTATCATTTGCCTTAACCCTTAAAATTTACAGGATTTATCCGATGCTTTCTCGGGTGACGACAATACTGGAATTATAAAAATGTAATAAATGCAAGCATACGTTAGCCTCCTTAGTTTTTCGTTGTTTTTTTGTTGTTTTTTTTTACTGAAAATGAAAAATGTAACCTTTTTTTTTTTTTTTTTGCTTTAAATGGAAAATAAAAGTTTAACATCTAATGAAATACAAATTTGGTAATATGTTCTTAAAGATCTCTGGATAGTTACTGGTCATTATTTAATTCGCCCAAACACAAGAGTGGATGACATTTTATTAGGATTTGTATTTCTAAGTTCCATGTTCAACGTATTAGTTCGCACTAACAGAAATCTACGCTTTATAGGATGCACCCATGGAGATAAAAAACACAGGATCATCTCTTCCGTCACAAGCGTTGAATGGAGAGACTTCAACCTGGATACCGGTTTGTTATACACACACATTCTCTTGTCCTCTCTCTTCTCTATTTTCTTCTTCATGATTCCTTTTTTTTTCTATAATTTTTGCTTAGTGATGATATTTGTTTGTCTCTGTTTCTAAGTAATAAACCCAAAGTTATAGTAATACTAACCTTTTATTCTGGTTAATTAATTAGTATTCTGTGGACATTATTAATCTGTATACCAGATTTATTTCATCGTAACTTGTTTTATTATTACCGAAACACCGTATAGTTCGTTAAATTAGATAAACAGATATATCAAAAATGTCTTTCATGCTCCGATGTAGGCAGAAATAACAGCGGAAACTTTGGAGAAGTATCTTAACATCGAGAAAGAGATACAGTCGTATGAGAAAAGACACGTTTTGGAAAACTACCAGGTCAAGACCGAACAGTTAGAACAGCTGGAGAAGAAAGTCGAGGAACTAGAAGAAACTCAAAAGCAGCTGGAAGAACAGGCGTATGAACTCTTATGATATTTCTAACATTATTAAAATTATTTTTTTTACAAGTTACAGCATTTATTATTGAGAAAGAGTTTTTAAATAAACAGGTACGACGTTTCGATCGCTGGTGTGATCAATCTAATAACACAAAGGTTTTAAAGGTAAAAAAAATTAGTATTTAAATCGACATTCAACAATATAATAATGCATTTAAATTAGAGAATCGATAGGGGTTACTACTTATGCATACACATATATAAATACACGTGAATTGACAGCTTTTTTATTCATAACTGAACAGAAAAAAAAATAAATCACTTTGAACATGTAAAAGCTGTAATTTGCGAAAAAAACGAAACTATTATTAAAATTAGATTAACTTGTGATTTCCTCTTTTATATACATATGAATAAAGTTCCTTCACTCCTTCGAATACTTCTAGGAAAGCTTGCTTCTAAGTGTTTTTAACTGTTATAATGAAACGCATTTTATTTGTATTGATAAATTTTCATGTTGAATTACACTTACAAAATCAGTTTATCAAACTGTGCTCATTTGTTGGAATATTTTCCTCCATTTTCTAGGAATTGTCCTCTGTCCTCGAAATTTAGCTTAATTCCATTTAATTGGCTTCACAGTAATGGCGGGACGGCATGCACGTACGTCATTTGTCATGCAGGTCTATCGTACGGTGTCATAAAACTTTCTAGAATGTCACCCCTCTTGGCTATCTTTTTCATATTATTGTAAATATTTTTAGTATATCATTCAACTTGTACTAATAGGTGTCCTGTAGATCGAATTCCCGTCCCACCAAACATGCTTGCCATTTCAACCGTGTGGACGTTATAATGTGATGGTCAATCCCACTATTCGTTGGTAAAAGAGTAGCCCAAGAGTTGGCGGTGGGTGGTAATGTCTAGCTGCCTTCCCTCTAGTCTTACACTCTAAATTATGGACAGCTAGCGAAGATGGCCCTCGTGTTGCTTTGCGCAAAATTCAAAAACAAAAAGATCTGGAACATAACCAAAAACTTTTGAAAGTTTCACGGTGATCTGATTTCGGATAAGTAGACATTTAAGCAGTAACATAAAAACTAGAAAATGAATAAAGTAAGAAATTGTAGAATCTCTCTGAGCCATACCCAAGAACCCCTGAAAGTTTCATGGAGGTCAGAGGTTGGGAAGTTTGAACATGTTCGTCTCAAACAAACATACAGACAGACACAAGTCGCTTTCGGTGATATTTGCCCAGAAGTTTTAGGATCGCTTGTTGGCTGTAGAAATACCACCAAACCTTCGTAAACATATCTCTTATTTTGTCCATGTTAACTTTATGAAGCTACATATGTTACTTTCTTGTCTCAAGAACTGAGACTGCATATTTCATCCATACATTGCTAAACATAATAAACATCCATTATAGTAGTGACTCTAATTTGAATCTAAGATATATAGAAAGATCGCCAAGTATTTCATCTTAGGAAATGAAATGCATCATCACATATAGTTACATTGTAGCAATAGTAGTGGAAATTAGTAAATGATCAAGTTTTGTCTTTTTCATCTCTGGATTTTACTAACTTACTACTTAAATACTTTTTTGGTTTCTACCTATTCTCTGATTTCCATATTAGCTAGTGGGTATTTACGTGAACATTCTTCAACAGCATCTACTGTAATTTAGCTAGTGGGTATTTACGTGAACATTCTTCAACAGCATCTACTGTAATTTAGCTAGTGGGTATTTAGGTGAACATTCTTCAACAGCATCTACTGTAATTTAGCTAGTGGGTATTTAGGTGAACATTCTTCAACAGCATCTACTGTAATTTAGCTAGTGGGTATTTACGTGAACATTCTTCAACAGCATCTACTGTAATTTAGCTAGTGGGTATTTACGTGAACATTCTTCAATAGCATCTACTGTAATTTAGCTAGTGGGTATTTACGTGAACATTCTTCAACAGCATCTACTATAATTTAGTTAGTGAGTATTTACGTGAACATTCTTCAACAGCATCTACTGTAATTTAGCTAGTGGGCATTTACGTGAACATTCTTCAACAGCATCTACTGTAATTTAGCTAGTGAGTACTTACGAGAACATTCTTCAACAGCATCTACTGTAATTTAGCTAGTGGGTACTTACGTGAACATTCTTCAACAGCATCTACTGTAATTTAGCTAGTGGGTATTTACGTGAACATTCTTCAACAGCATCTACTGTAATTTCAAAGGAAACCTGAACATGTTAATGAGATTTTATGACCTGTGATTGATCAACTAACTATATTGTTTGCTGCCTAATATTTTATGTGCTGCCAACTCTCACGGACAGTTATTAAATTTTCAAAAGCAGTTCTAGAACCAACTTTTAATCGTTGTTTGGCATACTAATTTCTAATATTATATGCATTTGATATCTTATTTTTCCTTCGGCCATCGTGTTGATAGTTTTAATACTATTTCCATTGTCTACCATACATTTTCAATATACGAAGTAGCAAAATATTTTCTATGTTACTGATGATCTAAACATTTCTTATTCACGAAATTACTTTGAAGTTCTAAAGCTATTTAAACCAGTATTTCATAATTTACAATTAACCACCACATATATGTAAAAATTTGTTTTCTTCTTATCTTTATTTACTTTCCACTACTTACATAAATGCAAATCACCATCCTTTACTTTTCTCATAGTAAGATTTACGTTACTTGTCTTCCATTACATGTTCTCACATTTGATTTTATAATGCTTGTAATCCATCCTATCATTTTACAAATCCAATACGTTTGATTTCTTATACAAATTTATAGAAAACGATGTAAAAGTGAATCTTGGATGTATTTTATCGATTAGCAGTTTTGAATATTTTGTGTGTGCGTGTAAAGTATCGATATATCTATCTCTTCGAACTTTACGTTTACAGTATATTACCCAACACGAATTATAGGATATTTACATAAGTGCACCCCACCTTTTAAATAGGATATTTACATAAGTGCACTCCACCTTTTAAATAGGATATTTACATAAGTGTACCCCACCTTTTAAATAGGATATTTACATAAGTGCACCCCACCTTTTAAATAGGATATTTACGTAAGTGCACCCCACCTTTTAAAAGTAATCTCCT